TACTAAAGACTAAGACTATGTGCAGGTACTGTAGTGGTGATGTCGGCCTTTTTTCTTCTCTTCTGTACGTGGATTCTGTTTTGAAAAGAAATGGAAATATCTATGATGAATGCAGCCATTTGGAACAAAAATGAGATTTGTAAAGCAAGTTGGATGGCTTTTGAAGGGGAAAAAGTCAATATTTAAAGTTTAGTTCATGAGTTCTTTTCCTCTGTTTTGTCTATAAGCTTTTGTGTTAAAGGTGAAGGATTTGGGTTGCTCAGACAATTAAGAGCCCATTTTGCCAAGTGTAATTTCATATCTGTGTTCTATAAACTGGAGTGCCTTCAGCATTGTAAATAAAAAAAAAATTGCCCTCTATTAGCATGTTTGTGGGCAGATTAAAAACAGTCTTCATTAGCATAAGTAACACTTACAGATTCTTTTAAAAGTAGAAAATTATTTGCTGAATGATAAATTGCTAGCTTTATAGTTAGTTGCTGAAAATGTGCTCATTCAAAATGCTTACTTTAGTTTAGTCTACAATACTCAATTTTTTTGAGTTAGAAGTACTGTTTAATGGATTATGTACTTAGTCTTTGTTCACGGTAGATGCTGAAATGCAATTCACACTTTCTGCTAAAATGTTTGTATCAAATACCTCCCTATTTAGACTGATTTCTTTTAACACCGTATATTTTTATTATACTATATGCCCCAGAGAATGATACAAAATAATCTTAGATATACTATACCAAAGAAAAACTGTTTGTATCTTAGCATTGATACTCTAAATTGTTTTGCCTTCTTAGATTCAAATTACAGCTCTTTTAAAAAATGTTGGAGTCTTTGTTAGTTATTCTGTAAGAAATATTCATAATTTGGCAAATTATTATCACTATCACAAATTCACCAAACAAAAGAGTTCAGTTGCTCCACCTTGAAGCCCTTTCTTCCCAGACTAGATGTGTTTGTTGCTGATTTGGAAAGCCTTGCCCAGAAAACATCTTTCATGAGGGTAACGCTACCCTCTTTGATCTAGTTAGAATTGGTGTATACACCTTAAATGCAGATTTCAGTTATCCTTTTTTTTTTTTTTTCTTTTAATACAAAAGATACCAGAATACAAGAATAGTTTGTTAGAAACTCTATGTGAAAGAGCAGAAGGTTTTATTTAAACACAGCACAGGTCAGACTGAATAAAATAGCATTTGGATACATACATGAAATGCATAGATGCTGTCCTTAAAATAAGCATGCTCATGGGTCTTGCAGAGTAATGTTTGGCAGTTATCCTCCTTGCGCTTTTCCTGCAATAGTTTGGCAGTTCAGCTTTCACAGGTTTTTTTCCCTCTAATGTCTTATGTTTCTTAACTAAATCCCTATCAGAAAACCAGACAGAAGACTCTTATTTATTTTAAATATCTTAGGTTTAGCATCTTTTTTTTTTTTCACCATTTTCTTGCTTACTGTAGCAAGACCTTTGCAGATGGTACTTGGTTACTTGAAAGTGCATAACAGTATTTTCTTTGTAGCAGATGGATTTAAGACTTTTAGTTCCCAATAAATGTAGGTTTACAATACATAACTTTACAGGATTTGTGTTGTATATAACAGGTTTGAACATATTATCTCAGAATTCATCTGCATGGCATTTTCAGCTTATCCAGGGCCCATGCCAGTATTTTAAGTAATAGGGAGAGCATAGTGATTGATAGCAGCTAAAGGCGTGATTTCGAATAGAAACAAAGGTTTTAGAACAGAAGGTGTCAAATTAAACTTTGTCAGTTTGAAAAGTAGTAACATCCTGAAAGTTCTCCAAACATATTTACATGTGGCTAATGTTTATATTTTGCTTTGTACTCTCTTTATATTCAGTGTAATGTTGCCTGGCAAATTTACTCTGTTTTAAAATCAAGGTTGTTCCCAATGTCATTGCAGAGTTTTGGGGGGTTTGCCTTGGTGCATAGAAGTATCGGCTTAATTATTTTAAGGCTGTGTTTATTTAACAATGTACTATATATATATGCTGTATAAACCAGTTGTGATCTAATCCGAGTTATAAATATTTCCTTATTATTTTATGGTCCTTTCCACTTCCTGTGAGACTATAAAGACATGAAAAAACAGTGGTCCAAGCCCTCCTTCAGAATAAATTATTTGAACTAGACAGAGATTGCTCTAGATTTAAATGAGTGCAAGAGGAGAAAAATCAGCCTTGTTAGGTTCACTTGTAAATTCAACTGCATTAACTACAACAGTTCATACTTCTTTAGATCAAATGGAAACAAAACTTACAAATTTTACGTAACTTAAAAATCACCGTTAGAAAAGTCTCTGTGATTACTTTTCCTAAAATTTACAAGAACATTTCATATATGCTCATTTAGTGGACTTTTATGAATGACCTTTATGTCAGATAGAGAATTCTGAACCTGAAATGAAAGGAGATAATTGCGGTTTTATTTGCTTGCTTTGAACCAAAAGAAAGCATATTGGTATAAAGTTTATAGTCTCCTAACAAAGTAAAACCCTATAGCCTCTGTAACTACCCATTCACTGTCTCTCCTGAGAATATTTCTGAGATCGACTTTGATAAATATTTCCAGAAATAAACCATGAAGACCAAAAAAATTATTTCTGTCACTGTAATTTTAGAAGAACTGCTGTGATAGTCAGCTCTGCTCTCTGTCTCACCACCATTAGAAAGAGGACCAACAGTTTCAATGGGAAGCAGTGCAGACTCCAGACAACCAAAGGGCAATTTTCATGCTTCGGCGCAGGCTGTTTGGTTTTGGGGTTTTTTTTTAATTCAAAGTTTTATAACTGCATTTCAATTAAAAAATCTAGATTTGTTTCTCTTCGTTTTCTTCTCCCCTCCATCACCAACAACCTACCCGTGTTTTCTGATTGCACATCTTTGAACTTGCTGCAGAAAACTAATACAGCTGTTGAGCATAATCCAGCACATGTCCCCATGGAAGCAAGGTGGGCAGAGAACCACTAGCAAGGTGTTGGTTTTATTAGGGGCAGGGAGAGTTCATACATTAACCTGCTAATGCATCCCAGGGCGCCTTACGACGGGGAGGGAGAATTCACAGACCCTTGCTACTGTTTTAAAAACGTGCCATATGACTCCAGCTGGGACAGGCTGTACGTTATGCACTCTATATGAAGGCATTTGGCCCAGCTTCCTAAGCCCTGGGGCGGTACCCGGCATGCACCCTTAGCGCATGGTCAAGGAATGGGGTGCGCTCCATCCTTCGGGTGCAAGGGGGCCCTTCTGCTGCCACCCTTCTCCTCCCTCTCTCCTCCTTCCCTAGCACACCTAGTGAGCACCCGGCAGATTTTGGCCCCGTGTAAATGTTTGCTTTCTCAGCTCTGGTACTACCATGTCTCTAACATTTGTCATTTTGATTATTTCTATTTCTCGGGGGCGTTTTCTCCTGTGTCATTTGTTCAGTTTTCCACTTGTATCCAAGAGAATATACTTCAAATTTTTATACACACCTCACTAAATATTTTCTTATACAATATGAATGCATTAAGATTATTTGTTTATTTTCACCTCTTCCTATCGTGGCAATATTTTTACGCTGCATTTATTAACTGTTAGCTAAAGATATGAATGTGTTCAAGAAAATACATATCTATATTGTATCTATGTATCTATTGTATCTAGTAGTAAACTAGTCTGGATAAACCACTTCTCAACTACCAGTACATATAAAAAGGATCTAAAAGCTTCTGTACATTTATATTATTTGTTGATTCAATAAAATGTCACATTATCTTTCCTACAGCATTAAGAAATAAAATTGCATGGACCTAGTTTTGAAAACAGATCCTTGAAGCTAAAAGAAAGGAAGTATGCATGTTTTATATATGTAATATTTTGTTTCTAAATTTTAATATACCAAAAAATTGCTGCTGATGCATACTGTGCTAGCTAGAGCATTTGCACTCTTTTAAAACTACCAGTGCGCAATTAAGAAAAAGAATCCTCAATTAAATTTTAAGAAGACGTAAGAAAACAATTGTTAAATTTTCAAGATGAACTTGTATGCCTCTTTTGGAAGCAAATTAGCAACTGCTGCAGTTCTTGCAGGGAATCCTGTAGCCAGCTTCATAGTATGTACCCCCAAACCATGTCTGAATGAGAGTAGGTAAAATCTTAGGCAACTTGCTGTCCTGTGATGTGGAAATGGTATAAAGGGTGTATCAGAAGCTTGAGCATATCTTGGTATAAAGGGTATATCAGAAGCTTGAGCATATCTTGCTCCCCTCCAAGCCCTAACAGTGTACATAAAACTGAGAGACTGTTTTTCTCTGGGTCTATGAGAAAAATCCTGAAACAGATAATCATCTATCACCTGAAAGAAGTTCACCTGCAGAGGCACCTCTACTGGTAGCAGATAGGAAGAATATATTACTTGACTGCATGTAGTCAAAGGATTCCTGTCTCTTGAAAGGACATTAGGGAGCTTTGCTACTGCTATGATTTACATTAGGCAGCCCTACAGTCAGGGTAGATATTTGAAGTACTTTCTTGTTTTGAGTAGTAGTACCAGGATTTTAAAACTTGCTCAGCGGACAATCTACCGGCTCCCGAAAGACAGCGTCGATGCTCTTGGATGGGTGTAGCCTTGCATAAAAGAAAATAGGCAGCAGAGAGAATAGACTGGGGTCAGTGAAACCCCTATCCCGTGGAGGGGAGCGTGCAAGCGATTCTGCCTTCATCCACGGGTTTGTTTCTAAGCAAACAAACAACAGCGCTGTGGTGCGGGACCAAGGGGAAGGTGCTTTCCAAAACGCTTGCGGCCGGTGAGGGTCTGTGACATGGCGTGGCAGCCTCTCAGTGTGTCAGTGTTTGCTTTAAGCCCAGCCTTTACAGGGAAAGCCCTTTCTCACTGGGGGAAAGCGTGAGAGAATGCCATGCCGCTAAAGTACACGTTTCACCCTCGTTTTGCCCCTCGTGGAGTGAGGAAAAAAACTAATGTTTTGCTGGTGTTATCTTCAAGGGGTGGCTCTGTGAGCTGTTACGTTGGAAAGAAGATCCCTCACCAGAGAACAGGACCCTCTGGGAGAATCTCTCCATGATCCGAAGGTTCCTCAGTCTTCCTCAGCCTGAACGTGATGCCATTTATGAACAAGAAAGCAATGCAGTTCATCACCATGGTGACAGGCCTTCCCACATTATCCATGTGCCAGCAGAACAGATTCAGGTTAGTTTACCTTGGCCAATCCCACAGAGCGCTAAGTAAATAAAGCTTTAAACGGAGCAAAGGAAATTAGTGTTTCTTTCCTCCCGGCCAGGCTAAATGCAGGTCTCCTGGTGCGAGATAAGAGCGCGCTGCCATCCGCCACCAGAGTCCAAAGGAGAGCGTGCGACCACCCGCAGTTTTTGTTTCGGTTGGGTGGTTTCGCACAAACGTGCGTGGACGTGGTGGCACGGAGGCACCTGCGTGCCGGGCAGGGCGAGCCGCCGTGCTGGCTGTCCCTGGCTAGACAGGCGTCAGGACCGAAAGGCAGAGGCGTTTGGCACCGGCTGTCAAGCGCCTTCCCAGCGAAGCGGGAGGACCTCGTTGCGCCGCTGTTCCAAAGCCAAGCTCAAGCCCTCAACAGTGGCGGCTCGCCCCGCGTAGGAGTGAAGGGAAGGGGATTCCTCATCCCACTTTAACCCCAGTCGAAGCTGGGGTGAGTGAATGTTTGTTTGTTTTTCCTTCAGAGCCCCTCTCCCACCACCCTTGGGAAAGGAGAGCATAGAGGCGCTTTCTTACCAGGCCTGCTGACCGCTGGACCTTGGCTGGGTGCTGCTCCACAGGTGAGCTGGCACAAGGGCACCGTGTCAGGGAGACAGAGGAGGGGACGCAGGACCCACGCCATGGGGCTTGGAAACAGCCGCCCTCCGCTCCAGGGGAGCCCCGGCTTTGCCTTCTCCTCCGGGGGCTGCACGGGCACCGTGCACCGGGAGCGTGGCTGGCTGTTCTGCTAAATATTGTAGCCCAGGTCTTCAGTGTGGACTGCTGCCTCGCTGAGCTGGGGACCCTTTAATCCCTTCTCACGAAAGACCTGAGGTCAGCCTTTTAACTGCTCCCTCTTAAAGGGCAGGTATTACCCCGTGCTTTCCCAACCTCAGCTGAGACCCAGTGTATCATTTGTATTACCTATACAGAAAAATATTTACGAAGCTAGGAAGGATAGAGTTATCTCGCAGCCAGAAACAACACGAGTGTATATTAAAGATAAAGCAAACTGAATAAGACAATCCCTTAGGATATCAAGTACTAAAATAATTGTGAAAGCCTGGAAACTTGCTGTTTGATTTAGCAAAAAGAGAGAGAAAGATCTATATTAAGTAATAAAACAGCACTTGTTTGAAAATGTACATTGTTTCTAATAAAATCGCTTCTTAAGGGGATAAAAGGAGAAGCTTATGCACAGTATAAACATTCAACCACTATGCCACTTATTTAGATTCTCTTGCCTTGTTGATAAAAGTTGTGTGTTTGATCTCACAAATACTATTCAGATAAGGAGTTGCATTGTAATATCTTGATATGACGTAAGAGTAAGGATTGGGAGATTGGGCCTGAGTTTTGTCTCTGCTCTTCTACATGGTAGTTGTTGTAGATGCATAAATATGTAGCTGAGACACAAGTTTTCAAACTGTATATACAAAGCCTCCAGTCTTGTAAGAATTTAATGTGCTGGGAGTAGTCTTGAATCTCTTTGGGATTGAAGCCTTGAATGGGGCTGTTCACAGACCATAAAACATGAAAGGATGTGAATAGGGATGAGGCAAGAGCCCTAATTCCACTAGCATTTGTGTCAGATCTTACAAGAAGATGACTTAAAGCAGTGGCTTCTAAACCGGGTGTTGAGACACATATATGCGAAGTCTCCATAATCACGAGTGGCACTGTGGACAGAATTGTAATTCCTCCAATATTTATACTATTCGTACAGTATTTTGTGTTTCTTAGGGTCTGCAAGTGAGCTGCAACTGGAAGCTTGGAAACCACTACCGACACACAAAAAATTGTCGAGGGGAGACTCACAAAGGGAAATGAAATGTAGTGATAGCAACTGCTTGTTTTGCTGCTGTTGTTTTTTAATAACTGGTGGTTTGTACCATATGACAAGAAATTTGCTGACCCAAAATATCTTACTAACCAGTGCTTCCTGTGCTGTGAAGCAAAAGAATTGTCAACAAAACCAGTAGCTGATAAATTTACTTTTGATTTTAAACATGATCTTATAATATACTGTACTCCAGTGATGGATGAGAAAAACATTTCTGTCCCTGGGGCTCAGTGCCTCACCTTTTAAGAATGTTTCTGAATCCATGCTTGCAAAACTTCATTTTAAGCTCTTGTTAATTATTTACATCATGATTTGCTTTATCTTACTCTTCTGATGTGCATACTGGCTCATTTTTATTGCCTGAGTTTTTGGAATGCAGCGTGTTCCCTTCTAATAATAATAGTGCAACTTATTTAGAGCTTTGCATCTTAGTGCTTTATAAATATTAACTAAATAATCCCCAGCACAAACACAGAAGCAGGTAAATATGTTTGTTCCCTGTTTATACGTTGGGATACTTGAGCACAGGCAAGACAGATCCTCTCTGAGACCACAGGCAAGAGAGGTCAGAGCCGGAAAGGGAAATACAGATTTCCTACCTCCAGATCTCTTTGTCCTTGCCGAGGCTGGATTTGACAGCGTGACATTAGGCGCTTCCAGCTGACGCATTCTGTCGTAACGTTTGCAAGTTTGACAAGACTTCAGTGCATGCTAAGGTCAGATCAGTAGTGGGATGTTTCCACACTTCGCTAAAATGCTCTCCTTCTCCCTGATCCCCCCAGTCCCTTAGTCCAGCTATTGCTAGGGATTTGCAGCCCTCGTTTTTGGGCAGCAGCTGCTGCTGCTGGCAGAGCTCCTGTGCGTTTGCCCTCATCCGGCACTTTTCTCACTTTGCCCTTGCTACAGTTCTGGCTAAGCTGGTCAAGTTAATCCTGTACTATGTCACCTACTTAGCATTTTGTCTTGTCTGCACTTGACTCATGGAGCATGTTCATTAAAATTTGTCAGCTAAACCGTGCCGGTGTCTCGTCATCGGCGCTTTCAGTGAGACAAAGCCGGTGTTTTCCTTCTACCTCTCTGTCCGTACCCCACCATCCCTTTATCCCTCGTCTCTGCTCACACACATACAGACACATGCAAGATATGCAGAGAGTTACTAACTCATATTTTAATTCTGGTTCAGCAATAATGGGCCTTTTTTTTTCTTTTTTCTTTTTTTTTTTTTTTTTCCTTTTTGTCATTTAAACTTACTAAGCCTTTGTTTATAGCTTTGCAATTTCCCCCCCCCGGATTTTCTTGGTAACACAAAATATGAGCAAGAATACACATACAAAAAAAATGCTGTGCTTTGTCTTGCAGCAGCAGCAGCAACAGCAACAACAGCAACAACAGCAACAGCAACAGCAACCAGGTCCCAGACTACCCCCAAGGCAACCGACAGTAGCATCACCAGCTGAATCTGAGGATGAAAATCGTCAGAAACCCCGACCGCGAACAAAGATTTCTGTTGAAGCCCTAGGGATCCTACAGAGTTTCATACAAGACGTAGGCCTGTACCCAGATGAAGAAGCAATCCAGACTCTCTCCGCTCAGCTTGACCTGCCCAAGTACACCATTATCAAGTTCTTTCAGAACCAGCGATACTATCTCAAGCACCATGGGAAGCTGAAGGACAATTCTGGTTTGGAGGTGGATGTTGCAGAGTACAAAGACGAAGAGTTGCTCAAGGATTTAGAAGACAGCGTCCAAGACAAAAATGCAAACACACTTTTTTCAGTTAAACTAGAAGAAGAGTTATCAGTAGAAGGGAACACAGAGATTAATGCTGAATTGAAAGACTGATCTAAAAGTATTATTTTCTTTCAACAGTGCCACTGGTATTTACTAATGAAATGAAAATTCCATCTTGCGTTCTGTCAAAAACCTTTATTATTCATTGTTTGGCCAATGAATCTTCCAAAACTTGCACAAAAGTTGAAAAAAGGATAATGCAGACTGCACTAGATGTTTTACTCTGTTTTACAAACTGCTTCGCAGCAACAGATGAAGCGTTGAGGATTGTTTGATATTAATTTGTGTTCACTGGATACACTGTGAGTGTACCCAATAAGCATGATACCAGTGATTTTGATTCTGGAGCCTTCAGACAAGCATTACAACTTTTGTGATTTACTGTTTTTTGTTTCTGTTTTGTTCTTGTTTTTTAATTATTACTGTAGCACTCCACACTTGATCTTTGGAAACTCACATTTATTTAAAAAAATAAAATAAAAAAGAGTTTGTTACTCTTGTTCTATTGTATGTTACGAAAGAACTATAGACTGTGGAATGCAGTTTAAAGATAACATATGCCAACAAATGCCTTGTATTATATGGCACTGCCGTAATTCAGATTTGTTTTCTTTTGGAAATAAAGGTCACTGTATTTTTTTTTTTCCATTCTCATTGTTACATGGTTTTAAAGAAAATGAAAAAGAAAATGTGAAACACAATTTAGTCCTCATTATTTATTTGTAGATCCTGCAGCATCATGTTGTAATTAATTTTTTTGGAAGTTTCCGTTAAATGTAATATTGCTTCTCTTGTTATCATACTGATTTTTTTTCTATTTATAAATGTATTTTGATGGGCAGTAAAACAAAGTGTCTTAAAAGTTTTAAATAGAGAAAATGTGCTTTACACAGTTGCCTATAAAAAGTGCTCTATGTTATCCAAGCAATTCATACTATAAGCTTCACTCTTATTGTTGTATGCAATTTTTACTATCATGCAAATAAGCTTAGGTAAATAAAACTAATAGATCACCTTAGAAACTTATGCAATTAATGTGAAAATAATTGATGTTTGCAATGTGTCTTCCTTTGGTTTACAATCAATTTTAAAGCTACAGCTGTATAAATTTTCTGTATAAAGGTGTATTTCTTTTTTATGAGTTTATTGCTATGAAAACACCAGTTATTTTGTTACAGCTGGCTGTTTTTATAAGTGTATCACAATTTTCTTTATGCAGAAATGTTCTGACTAGGAGTGGTTATTGACTGTAACTACACAATTAAAATTGTTTGTATGGTATGATATGGCAGGGTTTGTCTGCGTATGTGTATATCTGGGAGGAATAACTTGTTCTTAGTGCACATCGTACCTCCTTGCCACCACTTTGAAGATGACATTTCAATTGTTCTCCTTTCAAATCACGGGCAGATTTTTTTAATGACCTTCTTAAAATTTGAATTTAGATAACATACTTCAAAAAGAAACACAATTTGGTTATGAAAATCATAACCTGTCTTTTCTTGGTTTAAAAACTTGCCTGCCCAACAGAGATAGCAGGATATTATTGAGTCAAAAGGCTATCAGGCATAAACATATTTACAGTTCCTGGCAGTAATGCACTTATAATGGATACAGTTGGTTTTATTTTACACTAGAATTATGCTAACACTATTCCTTGCACTAATGTATAAACACTAAAAAAACCCATTAATAGTCAGAAAGTAAATAGGAAAGATGGGCTTTGCACATAGCAGTCCCCTTCTAAGCAAGATTATTTTTAATGATCACTAGTAAGGTTCTTGATAAAGCCATAATAATTGGTGAGCTCTGAATTTATGCAAGACTCATGTCTAGGCTAGAGAGAAATCTGCAGCTGAAAGTTGTGAAGCACACACTGTTACTCTCTTTTCCTAGGAGAGAAACAACTTACACCCAGTGCGATTTGGGAGTCGAATTCAGCTCAGCTCTTCTAAAATGACTAAAAGTTTGCAAAACTTAGGATGAGTTTCAAAGGCCCAAATGACTCTTAGGTTGCAGCAAATTTCTCCTTTTAGCTCCATTAAGTTCTTTAGGAAGATACGTATTAGGCAACAAAGCAGGTTTTCATTCCATATGTTTAAAACTGCTGCAGGTTGCCCGGGTCCTCTTGTCGCAGCGCCCTTGGGGTTCCTTGAGCAGCTCCCAGCTGCAGCGCCTCTCGGCTGCTCCCGGGACTGTGTTGGGGCTGCACCATGATTTGGGCTTGGCATCCAGTCCAGTTAAAAGAAAAGAGCCTTAGTATCACTCTGGGAGGAAAACAAGCCTTAGGAGGGACACGGATGTGTAATTTGGCATTGCAGTCCAAAAGGACAGTCGAACTATGCCCTTGCTTAAGGGACTTGTAATATCTATAAAGCTATTGATAGCCCAAAGCTATGCTGGTTGCAAAAGGGCAAAACCTAAGCCTAGTCCAGGGAAGCCACTGTGGTCACCGTTGGATTTCTTCACTTACTTCAAATGGGATCATTGCTTTGTGCAGGCCCACAGCTGCTCAGTGTTAGGGCAGATCCCTGTTCGCAGCCATGGGAGAGGATGAAATGTAGCCCAGGCAATGCAAGCTGATTTCATGTGCAGGACAATACCACTGGCACCCTTGGGCTGGCTGAAGTGCCAAGTGACCATTACAATAGGGCTGCTTAAGAAAAAAAAACCAAAACAACTTTTAAACAAATATGCCACTTTCCTGGCACATACCTCTCTCCACGCTAAAAGCTAATACATGCAGCACTCATACCAGAAACAGGGTAACAAGTCCAACACCCTATAAAAGCATAAGAAGAAATGTTTATAAAATTGTCTTTGCTATTTTTGAAAGCAATTTCCTTTTCTTTTATCCTTTTAAGTTTTATGGGTGCTGAAGTAGAGGCCATGTGTGCTTGCAGATGGTTATTATAGCTGTTTCTTTTCCATTATCTTCGTTTTCCTTTCTCCTAGCCTAGCTGAGGTTATCTTCCAAGTAGTTCAGCCTCTGCAGTCACATATTACCTGCACAGAGGTTTAAATCAGTGCATTTTTGTGTCGCAGTGGGTGGGCGGCGAGTAGTCTTTTAACTTGGCCTCAGTGACCAAAAGCGTTTTTGTTAAATCCTTAGCAGCATTTTCAAAGGTGATATGAGTATTAACAATCCCAACTTTATGTGGATGAGAGAGATTTATACTGTTAGGAGTTAAGCTACTACAAGCATATGCCACTTTGACTCATGGACTGGTTAGACTACCTAGAAAATTACCTTATGTCCTTTTCTGTTCCTTTTTCTCCCCATCTGGCATAATCCTACAAAAAACTTCCCATTTCTGCAAAGATTAAGAAATCAGGCCGGGCTTCTGTAACGAAGAACACAAATTGAGGCATCAAAACACTATTAGTTAGGAAGTTATTAGTAAAACTCACTGGTGAGTAAGACTTCACTGAGGGTGTATGAAACAAGTATTTCGTATATACTTAGGGAAGTATGGGGAAAGAATATTGCTTACTAGGAATACAATCTAAGCTGCAAAGAAAGCCGAATGCCTAGAAAAGAGGGAACTGAGTGCTGGGTAGGGATGGCAGGACTTAGTTTTTTCTATAAAACTGAATTTACCTATTTACCATGTTTTATGGTGTTTACCATAACAAGTGGAGTATTTTTACTCCCTGCTGAGTCCCATTAATCTATATTTAGCTGACAAGATTTATGTGTATATGCTAGAGTCCCCAGTGTGTGTTTTTCAAGCCTGAAAGAAAACCAAAGAGGCCCCAGATTCCAAGAAGTCCATGGCTTGGGGACAGTCTCAAGCCCCAGTCACACATACAAAGGTTGCTTATCATTATGAAGACACCTACCCTACAATGCAGGATTTTAGATTTTTGTTTTGTATAGCTACTTTAAGTTGGTCAAATGATGAAGAAAAAAACATCCAGGTTTTAAAATAAATTATTCCACTTAATTTTTTCTTGAAGTTGGGAAGGTGCAGCAAATGGAGAAAGAAGGAAAGGTTTCCCCAAAGAAGCGATTTTGTTTCAGTGATTTACTGAGTCAGCACTTTGTGTGCTGGGAAAGCATCAAACATTGCTAAGTTCAGTTGCCAAAGCAAATGCCCCATACGTTAAGAGCAGTATAAATTAGATACCACAGAAGATCTACTTGAGCATCAAGTATTAGCAATTCTGCTTAACCTACTGAATGTGTGCTTTGAAGTCAGGTACATTGCAGAGACCAAAGGTATTTTGATTTTTGTATAATGATTTATATTGTGCTTTGAATAACAGTCCCATAGCAAAGCAGGGATATAAATATACTCCCAGGCCTTTTTTTGCACACAGATGTAATTTTACTTTGGTCCCCTCACAGTGCCTTGCGTCCACACAGTCTTTTACTACAACAAATGAGCTAATAATTCAAACTGCAATAAGTGATCCTCCTTGGAGCAGGAGTAGCGCTACTTGGCAGCGAGTTTGTTTGCTTTCAGGTTCATACGGGAGCCTTCCCGCCCGCTCTGCTGCTGGCAGTCCTCCCACTGTCCCGCGCCGCATTGTTTCACACTGGCCTGGCCCAGGCGCCCTTCGTGCTCTGGGTCATCTTGCCCAAATGTCATCTCTCCTGTTACATGACAGCACTCAGGTATATGTGCCACATTTTAATATGAGGCAGTGAGGGCTGTATATATCTGATGTCACCTACCCTTTATCATCACCGTTCCCGCTGTGAGCCCTGCAGAGTTGCTAGAATAGGCCACTTCCATGGGAAAGAGAGTGCCGTCTGGAGCAAACCCACCGGCAGGCAAGTAGTTTCTGAGCTGATGGAGTAGAGGGAGCAGGGGGACATGCATCACAGAGTGGAGCAGGAAAAGGAAATAGGAAGGTGCCAGAGAAGGATGGGAGCATCAGTAAAGCCACAGCAGCTACCCTTGCATGGAGGAACGGGCTCGTTTTGCAAGCTGTGCTACAGTGATACCCAGAAATACTTCAAAGGACTGCCAAGACTCCACAGAAAATGTTCCTGACCTGAAATGTACAATGGTCTCCAATCATGGGACTTGCCTTGGCAGGCAAGATCCAGGATAACACAAAAGCCTCTTCAGCTGTCCAGGGCAAAAGAGGTCCCCTAACAGTTTGTCCTCTGGTACTGTCCCTGCGTGTAGGACACGCAGGATTCTTTTCATCAGCTGCAGACTGACAGCTACCATGGCAGCTGCAGTTAGGACTCTCTTTCCAGATTACTTGTTTACCCACACAATATGCTAAAGCAACATCCAGGCTGTAAAACCTCTCATTTTCCTCCAGGATCACATCCAACCACAAGCAGCGTGTTTTCAGCCTTGAACCTAGCTTTCTGAGTTGTCTCCTACAGCCCTGCTCTTCCTCAGACCAGATGTGCCACAGCAGTTAAAAAACTCAAGTATGTTGTATGGCCCAGGTGTTTATCAGTGCAAGAGAACAGAAAAAGCATTACTTCTGTGAGCACATAGAGTTATATAAACACGCACAGTTCTTAAGTTTTGGGGCAAATAAGTTGCCCCAAGAGGCTTCAGAGAGAGATTTCGTACTGCTGTAGTCCTCTTAAAACATCAGTTGCAATGATTTGAAATTGTTGGGACCAGAAAAATTCATGCAGAGTCCTACTAACTTTGCAGGGGACTTCTTCCCAGAACAGAATTTAAAGCTAGGAGCGCTGTTTTGTTATTCGCATTACAAAATAAACAGCCTTTGCAGGAACAACCTTACAGATGTTGTTGCCCTTCCACATCCACGTTAAAGCAGGACACCATCCTGATAAGTAGCAGCACTGCCTGCGGCTGTGCGTCCCTTCTTGCCCCGTCTTGAGGGGGCTCCCCTGTATGTAGCATGACCCCAAACGGCTTAACTCTTCTTTACCCTCCCATCATCAACCTAAACATGGCCCTTCATCCATAGTCAACATTTTTACCTGGGGAAAGCAATCTAGAAAACAACTTATCTTAAAGCAAACCATGGCAGGGAAAGGTAAACAAGGATGTCCTTTCGGAAATGTAGGAAAAGCGATTCTTTATCATTATCAGCATGACAGCTTGGACCGGGAAATAAGTACAGGTGGTGTTGTTGGCTTGCCTTAGTAGGCAAAATGCTATATCCCCAGCCTAATAAGGATTTAATATTAGCTGAGAGACTGAAGGAGA